GAAGGTTCAGATAATGAATCAAATATTATTAGTAGTGATGAAGCTGATATTCTATCATCTGGGAATAGGAAACAATGGCAGTACGCCCATATAAGTATGCATAACTAAGGTCATAGCCGTAAATGCAACATAACTCGTATAAAAAATATAAAAAGCATGATGAAAATAGAGAAGAACTAGATAATTCAAATACAGTAAAGTATTTACCCCTGACAAACTGTGATAGACTTTTAGAAAAAATGCATACTGCAATTTATTTGTCTCTCGATGAATTATGGGATATTCCTGGTAAAATTAGATTAAAGGTATATTTATTAGATCTACAGAGGTTAAAATTACTTCCATTTGCTACTCCCGAAGAATGAAGTAATACCAAAGTACAAGTTTGTGCAGAATTATTAATATTAAAAGCAAAACTAGTTAGCCAAAATTATAGTGATGCAGAAAGTGTGTCAAGTACTATAGAGGAGGATTGTGATTCTTTTAGTGCTGAGTTATGGGGTTCGTATTCGTTACTTACTTCACTTACAACAACTGAAGATGAACTAGAAAAATACTTGAGAGAGAAAATTGCACATAAACACCAAAACCCTTTAGTGTGGTAAGAAAAAAAATAAGCAAGTTTTCCATTGCTTTATCAGCTTGCTCAAAAATATTTGTCCATACTTGCGACATCGGTCCTATCAGAACGTTTGTTTTCTGATACTGGAGCCCATATCTCAGCAAGAAGAACTTGCCTTGCACTAAATCTAGTAAGAAAAATACTATTCTTAAAAAGAAATAGTAATAATTTTCTAATATTACTTTTATTAGAAGATAAGTAGAATTTTTGATAAGTAGTAATTCATCAGTTAGATTTGTTCTACCTAATTTTCTAAAGTATATAAAGGTTGTACTACAAAATATAATAGCAAATAAACTAGCATGATTGTCATCTAAACGAATTTACTAATGATTACTGATAATATTAAAGTTTTGTTATTAGATAATATAAACCAAACTGCAATGATATTCTAACTTTAGAAGGATATCAGGTAAGTATAATATAACTTATACTATACATATTAATTAAATCTCAGTATAATAACATTTATATTTAAAAAAAAGGTTGAGGCACATTCAGAAACTCTTTCAGAAGATGTTCTTATAGCAAAAATCTGTGATATATATTGTGTTAGGATTCAATCTAAAACTAAACTTACTAAAAATATTTTCTTAAAAGTGAAAATACTCCTTGTAATTAGTTGTTTTTACACCAATACTAGTCAAAATGATTTAAAAACTACTACTAGCCAGAAAATTACTATATTCAATTCTTCTTTTGGCTTTAGTAGAAGTGTAGCTGAGCTAGTAATTGCTGAAATAATTATACTGTTTAGATATTTAGGTGATCGTAATATCGAGATATACCAGGAATTCAAAATAAAGCACCAGTGGAATGCTATGAAATTCGTAGAAAAACTCTTGGTAACTTTAAATATTAATTATATGTATAGAAATTTGTTCAGACAAGCATTAGAATATTATATAAACAAAAATTTTCCTAGTTTAACAAATTTCTTATTACTCAAACTAGAGTTAGCATGTTATAATATCAAATATGTTTTAATTTTTTTTTTAGATATATGTCCAAAAAAAAAATTAAAGCCGTTGGACATTGTTTCCTATTCCCAGATGATAGAATATCAGCTTCATCACTACTAATAATATTTGATTCATTATCTGAACCTTC